CGTGTACTACGTTGAAGATAACATTATTGACTATAATCCACGACATGAAAAGTGACCTATGTGTACCGCGCGACTTCCCTATCTGTTAATCATTAGTTCTCAACCTATACCACATACTGCGCGGCCGTCGCACTAGGCAATTAATTAAATTAAATTATGAACCACTGAGGCGAAACGGTAGCTAGGTTCGCAACGAACACTGGCCACTTCTTATGTCGCGAACTATAGTTGCAAGGGGACTGATATCGATTGCGCATGCGTAATCATGATTATACTAAATAAAATTATTATGGTACTTGATTACGTATTTACTATTTCCTATTTAGTATTTACGTTAATTTGTCCATTGTTAATATTTAATAATTTATTAGAATAAAATATATTTATTCATGAATATATTTCATAATTCATAATGCTTTGGTAGGTACCTATTTAAATTATACCGTGGTTATAAAATGGCATTTAATACTTAGTTGTATATTCTTAATTCTTATATTTATAGAAAAATTGCATAATTTATACATTTAATAAGTAATTACTTCTATACATTTTTAGTTCATGGTTTATTACTCCTTTTAAAATAATAAAATAATGACAATTTAGTTTAAAGTCCGGTTTAAACTTTAAGATTAAATTTTAAAAAAAGTAACAGGAATTTGGTTTTTCGTTGTCACTGTCTTAATCAGCGGTTATTGCGGAAGCGCGCATACGCATTTTGCCACAATTCTCCTTATACTCCGGCGGAATAAGAACTTTCTCCTCCACCGTCTTGTCATTTAGCCAATTTTTCAGCCAATCAGAGCTGACCTGCGTGCTACAAACCTGTTGTGGACCGCCGCCCGGGTACGTTCTTAATCCGCCCGGAGTAAAGTTTTGTATGGCTTCAAATATTTAGCCAGTAGCTCTATCCTTTGTATATGATTTACGGTTTAAGATAGAATAGTTGCGCGTCGACGTATGTTAAGCTTACTGACTAAGTGACTTTGTAATGTACTCACATGAATGACAGTAGTGCCATCTAGTGTCGACTTCTATAAGTCTTATTAAATCGTGCTAAGAAACGTATTTAATTTTAGGTAAATATTTTGTAATTTTATTAATATGTTTTTTATTTTATTAGGAATTAACTAACTTTAATGACTTTTTTTGTTTTGTACTGTATTTTTGTTTCTTGATTAGCCAAGTATGAATATTGCTTCATTCGCATTGTAATATACATTACAAATATGCTGGTCAATATTTCACTTCTATATTCTTGGCATGTAAATGTTAATTTCAAATCCAAGTTCTGAAAAAATTCTTCATATGTTTCTTAAAAGGCATAACATGTTTTCAATTTTTGCAATATATTAAATAAATAATGGTTAGGATGATTTAAATATCCTATAGTTTTTAATATTGACCAACTTTAGTGCACGAAATATATCATAATTATTGAGTAAGAACTTTTTGATAGATATAATTATTATTATACTTAAATACAATCTAAGATAATTTTATATTAAATCCTGATATTTGGCTATGGAAATATGGATTAGGTATTAAATATTGAAATAAGTAGGATTAGGTGGGTATTTTTTGATTTGGTAATTTAAAATTAAAATGTAATTTTGTGAAATTCAAAAAATTGTGGTGCACATTCCGTGCAGAAAAGAAGCATTAATAATAATAATAATAATAATAATAATAATAATAATAATATCCTATAGATTATGAATATGACCGCTAGATCACGTTAAGAGGTTGTTAACTGATGTAAGCATTTTCTCGTGCCACTATATTATTTCGTTCCAGTCTTAAACCATGATATGATATAAGAAATTTTCACTCTACTTATCACAGTTAGACTAATAACTATAATATGGCCTTAGAAGATAAAAATATTATAAGGTTAGGACTTTTTGCTTATCATTGTGTCCGCAAACAGAGGACATTATAGTACTTTTTCAATACACTATTTTGGTAGTACTTCTGTTCCAACTTTCTGTATTTTACTGTTTACCAACTTACTTACCATCGAGTACTGCCGTACAGGGTGGTGACAGGGTCAGGCACGAACGCACGGTGCATAGAAACAATTTAAATTGTTACAAATAAAAAAAAAAAATCTGGTAAACAAATAAATAAATAAATAAATAAATATTAATTAATTATTAAGTTTTTACTTGAATTACCATATTTTTTCATAATTTTAATATTTACAGCACAAGTTTGTTATAATAGTTACATTTTATGTCAAATATAAATAAGCAATTTTTTTTTATTGCAATATTCAATTTTTTATTTTTGCGATTTTAACGAAAATGACAATTTGTAAATTTGAAACTCCTAGAAAATATATTTTCCTTGTGATATTTTAGTCACTTATTGTTCTATAACATCCGAATTAAAATTTTTTTGACAAATAACAAAATTGTTTTTATATTTCACATCAGACTCGGTAATGCACACTCAACTATATCCAATATTTCAGCCGGTGTTCCCCAAGGGGGTATACTCTCTCCTGTACTTTATAATATTTATGCTGCTGATTAGCCCACCACACCAAACACTTAAGTTGCTGATTATGCAGACGATAAGGCAATAATATCTATAAATTCAAATCCGGAAATAGCTTCATACAATCTTCAGAATCACCTTACCCTTATGGAAGACTGGTATACCAAGTGGCGATTTAAAATTAATCAGACAAAATCTATCTACACTACATTCACACTTCGTCTCTCTCCATGCCCCGAGGTATCTATTTATGGCACTCAAATTCCTACTTCTTCCACTGTCAAATGACTAGGACTTATACTTGATCGCAGACTTACCTGGGCCCCTCACCTTAAATCTGAAAGACAAAATTTAAACCTACGGCTGCGCCTGTAAAAAACTTTCTGCAATAACAACAAATACACAAACATTAAAACTAAACTTCTTATTTATAAATCTCTAATCAAGCCCATCTGGACATATGGCATACAGCTCTGGGGTAATGCAAAAAAAAATCTAACATTAACAAGATTCAAACTTTTCAAAATATTGCGCCAAGGAAACTACTTAATGCTCAACATTATGTCTCCAACCATTCTATACATCAAGACCTCACGATGAATTCCGTCAAAGACGAAGCAAAACTATATTATAAGCGTTTCCACAGTAGGTTAACCAACCATTCTAACCCTCTTATTAAAAATCTAGCAATCCCTTCGATTCCGGGCAATCCCGCTAGACGTCTTAAACGTGGTGTTGTGACCTGCTAAATGCATGAATCCTAGAAAATCCCATTACTAAACTGAAACAAAATAGGTAGTGTCATCAATGGGTGGCTTCTCCCGTCATATTTTTCATGCTTATTACTCTTATCAAATTTACTTACTGTTCTATGAATAGATTGTAAATATCTTGTAAAAAAAAAAAATATTTGATCACAAAATTAGTTCGACAACAAAACAGATAATTTTGAATTTTTATTGCAACTAAAAAAAATAAAAAAATTGTAAATACATTTTAAGTTTTGATCATGAATTATAATATACCAACCTATAATTTAAGTATGTATGTCAATAGAAGGTCCAATTATATTTATTTTTCTGAGCTTATTTAAAAAATATTTACCTTCAAAGAATTCAAATTTTGTAAAAAATTTTTAAAAATTATTCTTGAAAAAAACTTTTTCTCTTTGTAATAAACTCGACTTTTAATAGAAGGTTTCTCACAAGTTCTTCTACCTCTACCTTTACAAAAAAAAAAGTTATCGAAAAGTTACACTATTTGTAGCCATAAGATATTTTCTATTTTTATTAATTTTTGTTGTTAATTATTAAGTTTAGTTATTTTTGCAACTTTGCAAGTATACTTTTATGACACAACTCAGAATCTTTTTTTCATGCAATGATTTATCATTGAATTCAAATATAACACATTCATTACAAAAACAAACTCGGCGACTAATGTATAGGAGAACAGTACCCCTTTTTATATTTCAATAAATTTGTTTGGTATTGTACATTTTGTGTGTGCGGAATTAGGCTATATATTTTTATAAACCTGTGTGTATCATACTACTTTTGTGTGTGATGTTACATTTTGAATTTTGGGCTGTATTGAGTCATGCTTGTGCAGTAATGGAAATCGCCGATATTGTATACTTGACACACTAATGCAACTGCTCTCTACCGACGTCCCGCCATATACATATATACTTGAGATAGGCATAGGAACGTCATATACGGATTGTCGAAATAGGTGTATTATAAAGCCAAATGTTATTAACCTCGGGATGGCTAGGCCAACAATACAATAGTTAATATAGTAGTTCTGAGAATCGGACTAGGGAATTGCGTTGCGGAATACATACGAAATAGAGTATGCCAAATCATAATCTATAGGTTATAGTAACTCTCACACAAGTCTACGACAAATATGAAATAATCAATAGTAGAAATTGACAGTTTAAAAAGACAGTATTGTAATAGCTATGTTATTAAAAATATTAGAACAGTAGATACTATGCTATTTTATGTCGATAACAAAATGATACGAAACATCGCAGTTCTAACCATAAGATCGTGGGATGATAGCATTTCCTGGACCTTATACGCACACAAGCGATAGTAAACAGGGTCAACATTATTTTGTCGATAAAAGAGTAGTGGAGATTAGGTCTTTCAAATAGGGACCCGGTCACCCGATATTCAGACGTGATTTGTCAGAGTACAAGAACCTTCACGCCAACAAACTCACTGAAATCATTTCAACTACACAAAATATTCAAACAGTTTTTACATTCACAATAAAGTTCATGTTAATAAATATAAAATTGGCTTGAATTATTACACCTTGTCGTCCATTACCCTTGTACATTCAGCATCTGTACGCGGGATCACTATATTAATCTATTAAAACAATCAAAACAACATAATATTTAAATAATTATATATAATTAATCAAGGTGCAGCTTTGATGGCCTGAGTTCTACTACATTTTAAAATTAATTTCATCCATTGTTTCAGGTTCTACTTCAGCATTCTGGCAGATCCATGTGTCACATTTATGGACTTCCTCACTTTCTCAGATTTATCAGTAAGTATACATTTTAAAATTACATCCACACTTTTATGGCTAACTTTTTTAAAAATTTTACTTACAACAAATATGTTAACAGTGAAACTGCCCAAAATTTTCCATTTTGTGGAAGATGAGAATCCGAAATTTGTTTATGATGCTGTTGTATTTGTTAAATTAATACTTAGGTAAGGTTTTTTATATTTACCATAAATTACATTACCAAATTATATTTATATTAAAAAGTAATCACATACACTGTAATTAAAACTTCAGAGTGTTAACAGTGTTAATTATTAATTATTATAAACGAGGAACATCTTAAATTTTCTCAGTAGATATAAATTATTATTTAATAAATAAATTACATTAAATGAAATATATCTTCTGTGTAAGTAATATGAGTGTACAACTTAAAATTTTTACTTTTTATATAATACTAGTATTAAATTCTGAATTTAGTTTAGAGCTTTATGTTTAGTGTTAGAAATAATTAAATTACTTTTACTAAATTACTTTTATATGTTTAATTAATCCTTACTTTTTTCTTTTTTAGTTATATAGAGCAAAAGTATGAACATTCATATATACTGGATTATGATTGTGTATTGCCCTATGATTATAGAAAAGCATACTTTATGTAACTGTTTTCCTCTCAGAATGATACAGTCTGCCATAACTTTTTATTGTTCATTATACATACCTAGATATTAGTTTATTACTCTGTAAAACTTTTTTTTTTTTGATACACATTGTTATTTATTCATTTTTTTATTTAAGTGTTATTACTTAATATTAATTTTTGAGTGTAAGGTAAGTTACTCTTTTAATATGTATTCAAATTAATATTTATTGTTTCCTATAAAATTATTTTTCTATTTTCATAAATATGTTTTAATAGCTTACTAGTATAATACTTATATGATTTTGATTATTATTAACAGTAAAATTAATTTGCACAAAGTTTTTAATTTTTTTATATGAACTATAAGTAATATTTAAGTTAGTAATAATATTTGTCTACATGTTAACTAAGATATATATTGAGTACAACTATTCAAATATAAATTTAACTCATGCATGACATATATCTCATTATTTTTATAAAATGTATTGTATCTTGAATTTATCTGTGAAGAAACCAGTTAATTTTTAAGTTAATTATTTATGAAAAATATTTTCTATTATATGAATTATTCTATTTTAATTTAATTTAATTTACTATTTTGTTAACAAACCTTTATCAAATATTATATATTCTGGATGAATTAATTACCCAACTATTATATGACTTTTGTGTAAGTGTACAAATGTACACCTGGTTATGAGACTGATATTGTTTTATGTTATTAAAATGTATTTCTTATTATGTAAGTATTCAGTAATTGTATTAGACTAAATGTACATTTATTTATTTCAAAATTTACTTTGTTTACCAATTAAATAAATATGTTACTATCCATGTGTAAATATTATAATGTGATTGATGTTAAAGTTGTACTTTACTGTTATATTTTATTTGGGGCTGTTTATTACTCTAAATTGTAACTTACAGAGTTGGCATACAGCATAACAAGAACCTAAAAACTTTATGTTTTCATTATTGTAGGAACATTTAACTAACTATACTAGTTACAAATAAGTTGACAATATTAATTGTGTTTATAAATTATAATACTACAATTATTTATATTAATCAATATTCCAATTTTGCAGTACCTACCTATATGCTTTATGCCCTTATGTAGAAAAACATACTACGCTTCTGGATATTTTTCCTCAACAAGGAAAATATATGATTCATAAATATGTTTTTGTTGACAAAAGGCCATGACAACTAAAACGTCTAATTTGCTAACTATTTTTTTTTATTTTATTTACTAGCTAAACGTTATAATCTATATAAGTTAAAATTATATGCATTGATAATTACATGATAGTTAAATCTCAGAATAGATGAAATTGATGAGGAAATACACAGCTCTTAAGGTTAAATATGGTCCACCATTTACAAAGGTGTCTTCAGTGTTGACTTAAAATTTAATATGAAATATCTTCAATACAAAAAAATATACAATAATTGAAAGTATAATATATTATTTTAGAACTTAAAGCTGTACAATTATTTTTACTTATAAAAAAATGTATATTGTATTAATATAAATACATATTTAGTAATAACATTATATATTGGAATCCTTTAATATAAAGGATTTTACTCTTAAACATTGAGTAAATAATCGTATTTAAAATAGTACAAACTAAATATATGCTAGTTATATTTAAAGTTAATATAAATAATTATTTAAATATTTAAAAAAATTATAGTAGTACAATTATTATTTTTGTTTGACTATAGTTCATACAATAACAAACAATTTTATGTTTTGGACGTAGGTACATTAATATAAAAAAACAATTAAACATAGTTACATTTTTCACACATTTCAGTTTATTAGTGTAACAAAACATTTCTCCTAAATGAACTATGAAGACAGTAATATAAACAAAATACATTATTGAAAAAAGTATAAGTAAGGACAATAACGTACATATACTACTATGTAAGCTAATGAGCTAGTTATTGAGGCTTTTAAAGTAATGAAAAAAGTAAAGAAATCCCTAGTGGTTAACTTGATTACTAGTTACACAATGAGTTATAAATATCAGTGGCGAAGCTTGGGTTCGGGATTAGGGTAGACAAATTTAAAATAATATTTTTCAGAAAGAAATTATTTAAGCGACAAAAAAAAATTTAACGGAAAACAACAACTAAATAGTTTAAAATATGTTTAAAAGATTCATCAATTTAAATATAAAATATGAATTATTATAAATACACTGCTATTAAAATTAAATACGTATTATAATATTATTATTATTTATTATTGCTCACTATATAGATACGAATAAGAAAAGAATATTACTATATTATATCCGATGGCGCAGCGCGACAATCGCGACGGTGACGTCGATAATAAATATTGAGGATTGTGGTAATTACGAACGGCGAGACACGTCTCATAGCGTACATACTACATAGTAAACCGCACTCTGATTAACATTCCCCCTGTACCCGCGCGCCCATATTGATGAGACGTTGCGTCGCAACGTCTATTAGATAATATAATACCATATTTGGAATGACCCTACGGCCGTATCGCGCGCTTCTAATCTATTTTAAGAAATCCATAACTGTACAACACGTCAACACTACAACGAAAAACCGATTTTAACAAATACTAAAACATAATATACATCATATATTTTATAATATAAAATAAAATTCACATTATCTAATATTAAATAAAATAAAATATTTATTTGTTTGTCCCGTGTTCTAATTTCTAAGTGGGGAGACGTTGTCTCTTTGTCTCCTATGACGCTTCGCCACTGATAAATATACAAAATAAAATTGAGTTATTATAATATGCATACAAACATTAATAATAATAAGAACAAACTATTAAAAATAATTGTCAATGGTTACTGTAACAACTATAAAGATAAATAAATCAATAAATATATAATAACAAATGAAACATAAATATAATAAAAATATAACAAAATAAAATGAGATAAAATAGTACAATTTCTATTTTTAAATTTTTTCCCAGGATCTAAAGATGTATTTAAATATTGATGTGAAAATTCTAAACATTATGTATAAATTTAATAAGAAACATTTGTCGCAAAATGTACAAGGATGACTAAAATGAGCATTACTGAAGTGAAGTTTTAACTTTGAACCAACACTGTTTTCCATAGAAATGGATTTAAATAATTTTATAAAAATATTTTCCAACTCATAAATAAAATTGTGAAATGTAGGTATCATGAGTGTATAGAATTGGAGTTGAGTAAAAATAAAATAAAACGCACTACAAGTTTGACTAATTGTTTTTATATTGACAAAGATTTATATGAGGTTATACAATACGAAAAAAAAACCAGATTGATTAGGTTGGTCACAATGACCGTATTATATAAGAGAAAACGCACTGTTTGGTCGCAATGACCGCGGGTTTTATAGACGACGAACGTTACGACTATGGCGACGAAGGTCACTCGGGAGTATGGACTTGACAACGGCGGTACGGTACACCGGGCGCACGGACTGGGTACGGGAACTCGGCGATTTACGGACGGTGCAATGCCAGATCACTGACTATTGCACCATGGTCCGATAGGTGAGACCCCGATTCAATGCAAGAAACCCAAAAGAATTGAACAGTCTCACAAACCGTTCGCTGGGTTGTGCGGGAGAGAACTACTTTCCTAGTCACGTAAGTCTGCCCGGGTGAGTCTTACTACGACGTCGAAAAGAAGTCGAATGAGTTCGGTGGTCAATCCTCCGGGCCTGTTATACCTGTTTGATCGGTGATTGCAAGTCGGCGGTCTCGTGTCCTGTGACTAACTTTTGGTCAGCCGGTGCCGTGTTCTGTGACAGAAACAAGAAACCGCTAAAGTGCAATGCCGATAAAATGCAGATATTATTTAATAATAATATGCGATAAATCATATATGTTTATGACAATTAAGAACAAGATTATAATAATTAAGAATAAGAATAAAATAATAAAATATGCCGCGCTCATCGTATGCAGCGCAAACAATGAGGCATCATCAATTTTCCAAATGTTGAGTTTTTTCTTGTACGATGTGCTTCGAGGAAAGATAGAGAAGGGACTGGTCTAACTGTTTTGATGACGAGAATAATCAATACAAACATGAGATATATGCTTCTTCAAGCACTTCTTCATAATATAGCTACAGTATGTAAATGTGTTTCTCTCTGGTAAATCTAAGTTTCTGCAATCAATTGTACCGATGCTGATGACTATTGCGTCCCCGACACGGGTTAATGATTTTTCCCCTATTTTTTCTGTGTTCCGATTGCCTCCTTTCCAATGTTACAAGTCAGATAGTTATATTATTTATCCGACATTTTTATGTTCCAATTGCGTCCGATAGATTGTCTTAATAAATTAGTAATTATTTTATCAGTGATATTCAAAAAATAATACAAAATTAAATAAAAATCAGTCAAAATATATAAAATACTAGCTGATCCCGTGCTGTCCACTTTGTTGCCCGTTAAAAATGCCAACTCTATATGAGACTCGATGGTGATAAGGCGAGCAGTATATTATGCGTACCTGCTGTGGATTGCGGGCCCCGCTTAATGATTATTTTATATGAATAATATGTTTTATTTTTATTTTGATTGTGAACACGCCGATGAGCGGCTATGAGTGCAACACAGCCACCTTGGTGGGCAATGAGCGAAAATTCAATTGTATGCATGCCCAATGAACCACTGCAGGCAACCAATAAACAAAAAAAAATATCAATTTCTACTAATATATTTATAATTCTCCTATAACCAATATAGCAACTGTTTCATGTTACTTGCGTACATGAATAATTATGACATAAAATAAATGCATATTAGTAGTAATGACACTTTATTAAAATATAATTACATCACAACAGAAAGGTTAGCAGATGAGTGACTGTGGCGTCAAATGCAGTATATTAAAAAAAAAATACAAAAGCGACGACACTACATTATATCTGATAACTATATTACAAACTAATATGATAAGAAACCTTATCACACAGCAACCATATATTAACGGTTGGACCTATTGGGTTCAATTGTGAATTTAAACCATCCAGGGCGTCACCAAAACGCATACAAAAAAATTCATTCTAATCGGTCCAGCCGTTTAGGAGGAGTTGAGTGACATACACACGTACTGTAGAATTAT